TGACCAGACTGTGACCCATCCTTATGAATATGTAACCCTGCACGCACATGACCTTAGCAACTCATCGAAGAGAGGAGATGGGGGAAAAAAATGAGGATGTGTTATCCATGTGATGAATTAGGTGGGTTAGAAAGCATCGTGATTTATTTGGCATAAAGTAGCCGGCATCTCTGAAAGTTACATCAAGATGTTCATGTTTAAGTGGCAATATGGCAGGGTGCTTTAAGAGCCCCGGGAGAGACACCAGACACCAAGGACAGCTAAGGGGGAGAGGTCCAGGTACAATGCCATGGGTGATATAGAGACTGAAATGAAGCTTGTGAGGCATCCAGCAAGAAGCCCTGGGAGTCTTGTGTTTTCTCTGCAAGAACAACTCTGCCCTGAGTTTATACACAGGTGTGTGCACCTGCTGGTAGGCTTCACCCAATGATTCTCCACGTTTGAGGTCATTGCAATCTCTTCTACAACCAAAATTTAATCATTGAGGGAGTTTTCAGATCCTTGGAGGACCCAGTGAGCCCTGTAAATGCCTGCTGTAGGAACAGAAAGGATGCTGAGCAGCTCAGGTGGTGCACCGTGCCTCTGCCAATCTGTAAATATACCGATCAGCCGGGCGCCGTGGCGCATGCCTGTAATCCCAGTGGCTCAGGAGGCTGAGACAGGAGGATCACGAGTTCAAAGCCAGTTTCAATAACTCAGTGAGACCCTGTCTCAAAATATTAAAAAGGGCTAGGGATGTAGCTCAGTGGTTAAGCATCCCTGGGTTTAATGCCCCAGTCCCCCACTCCCCAAATGCCTAGTTTGATCTCAGAGCCCTGTGAGGTGGATGCCATTATCATCCCCTATTTATAGATGAAAACTGAGGTTTGGAGAGTTGAACAGCTATCGGCAGAGGGAGGCTTTATGAAACTGGAGTGCACAGATTTCTCCTGAGACGTGTTCAAGTGATTCAAATCCTTGGAACTGTTTCCCCTTCGCAACTGCCTGCTGTTCTTCTGCCACTCAGCCCCCTTACTACAAATTCAGCACCTAAACCCTGTTTCCTTGGTCCACCATTTCCCCTAGTCTCAATCCATAAAAAGCACTAAACATCAAGGATAATTTGACTATATTAACACCAACTGGGAAAAGAGATTTGCTGCATATTTAACTACTGACCATTAAGACAATAAGAAAGCCAGGAGCAATGTTGCACACAGTGTAATCCCAGTGACTCAGGAGGCTGAGGCAGGAGGACTGAAAGTTTGAGTACAGACTCAGCAATTTAGCAAGACTCTAAGCAACTTAGTGAGACCCTATCTTAAAATAAATAATAAAAAGGGCTGGGATATGGCTCAGTGGTTAAGTACCTGTGGGCTCAATAGCTATACCAAGAGAGAGAGAGAGAGAGAGAGAGAGAGAGAGAAATGGGGAAATGACAGGAGCAGATATTCCACTAACGCAGAAACACAAATGGCAAATGAACAAATGGAAAGTTGCTCCACCTGATCCTAAGTCGTGGGCACAAGAATTAAGAACACAGAGTTTCCATTTCACACCCACTTGATGAGAAAAGCTCCAATCTTACGAGGTGTTGACAGAGATGGCCCCTAGATCCTGAAGATGGTTTCCTTGTTGTCTTCTAAAAGTTAAAAAACAAAACAAAACATTTACATTAAATAACTGCTATAAATAAGATGTCCATAATTTCTCCAGTTTTGGTCTGAACATTAAACTTACAATAAGAAGATGCAGGTTCTAGAACAGAATTTCTGGTTAAATGACCCTGGCCCAGCCAATTTAGATCTCTGCCTTTACCCACATCAAACAGGGGTACCTTTTCTTAACCCTTTTTCTAGACAAGCAGACACAAGTTTATGTGGCAATATTTTGTTAAAGTTACTAAACAAAAATAGAGTCAAGTACATAAGATTTTTATCATATCAGCTCTTTTCTAACATTTGAGTAATATTTTTATAATTTAACCAAAGCAAAAATTGTATATGCTCAACAATACAAAAATGTAGGTAAACAAGGTAAAACAAAATGGTAAAACCAGTCATAATAATATATCCATTCACCCAGTGTTTTCAATTATACTAAGAATTAATCGTGTGGTGGCACACACCTGTAAATCCTAGTGGCTTGGGAGGCTGAGGCAGGAGGATCACAAGTTCAGGGCCAGCCTCAGCAACTTAGTGAGACCCTATCATAAAATAAGAGGTAAAAAGGGCTGGGCATGTGGCTCAGTGGTTAAGTGCCCCTGGGTTCAATCTCTGGTACAAAAAAAAAAAAAAAAAAGAGTTAATTCTAAAAATCGGTAAAATTTCATGGAAATCTTCCCTCTTAGCTCAGGAATTCATGTCTTTGTCAACAGGTTGTCTGGTATCAGCCCCTGCTTCCAGTACTGGAGCAGTTGTATCGTCCATAGCTTTGGTGGAACAGATTTGGCCACCAGCCGTGATCTGTCTGTGAGTCCCTCAGCCAGATCCAGCCTGCCATTCTCCTCATCAGTGATTGTGTCTAACTTCTCAGATATGAAATCTTTAAAGATGAGGTGACAAGCCCAGGTTCCCTCAACGGTGCCCAAACCATCAATAACTAGATTATTTTCAACCACAACATTTAGCAGAATCACCAACTTCTCCTTTGGTTGTTAAGGTCACACTATCACGATTCATAAAATAGTCAGGGACCTTCTGAGTGATTAGGATTTTGTTTTAGCCTTGAAGCTTTCTCAGCCTTTAGAGTTGCCACAGGAACAATCTACTCTAAAAGCCGACTGTAGTTCCAGAGGCTGGGAAGTCAAAAGCCAAGATGCCAGCAGGTTCTGTACCTGGTGAGGGCCCAGCCTCTGCTTCCAAGATGGCGCTTTGTTGCCGTGTCTTCATGTAACCCAGGGTAAAAGCAAAAGGCTAAATAGTTTTTCAAATTGTATTTTTTAGTTATAGGTGGACACAATATCTTTATTTTATTTTCATGTGGTGCTGAGGAGCGAACCCAGTGCCTCACACATGCTAGGCAAGCACTCTACCACTGAGCCACAACCCCAGCCCAAGGCTAAACATTTTTTAATTAAAGTCTGCAATCCATCGTGATTTGGGTTGTTTGGGTGGGCAGGTGAGAGAATGGTTATACCCTTTGCATTTCTATGTGGATCCTCAGTTGTCCTAGTACTTTTTACTAGATTCTCCCTTCTTTCCCAGTGTCTGAAATGTCATCTCTGAGATAAATCATTCCCCTGTGCACCTGAGTCTGTTTCAGTGATGTCTGTGGTGTTTCATGTTTTTGTCTTTGGCTACATAAGCACCATAGTATCCTAATGATTCTTCTTTTATGATAAGGCTTGACATCATCTTTTTAGTTTTCACTCTTTTAGTTTAGTTTTGACTTTTCTTGACTTTGCTTTCCCATTTGAATGGTAGAATAAGCTCCTTAACTTCTTAGAAAACCCCAGTTGAAATTTTGATGACTATTGTCCTGTTTCTGACGACACTGGAAGCAATGTAACTTTTCATTTTATTTCCATTATATTTGTTCAAAATATTTATTTTAGTTTTTTTTTTTTGGGGGGGGGGGACCAGGGATTGAAATCAGGGGTATTTAATCACTGAGCCACATCCCCAGCCCTATTTTGTATTTTATTTAGAGACAGGGTCTCAATGAGTTACTTAGTGCCTCCTTTTGCTGAGGCTGGCTTGGAACTCATGATCCACCTTGAAGTTTTTTCAGCCTTTAGAGTTGCCACATAGGAACAATCTACTCTTAAAGCAGCCTCACGAGCAGCTGGGATTACAGGTCGGCACCACTGTACCTGGCTCTTTTAGGTTTTTGGTAGATGCCTTTTATCCGGATAAGGGAGTTCTCTTCTGTTTTTAGTTTGCCCTGAGTTATTACCGTGAAGGTTGTTGAATTTTATCAAAAAATATTTTTCCAACTATTGAGACTGTCTTATAGCTCTTTAATATATTAATGTGGTTACTATAGGAATATGTATTTTCTAATGTTAAATTATACTGGCATTCCTGGGATAAACCCAACTTTATTATGATGTATCATTCTTTTTATATTTTGATAGAATGTATTTACTAATATTTAACTTAGAATTTTTTCCATTTTATTTATTTTATTTTTTATTTGTTCTAATTAGTTATACATGACAGTAGAATGCATTTTGACACATCCTACATAAATAAAGTATAAGTTCTCATACTTCGGGTTGTACATGATGTAGAGTTACACAGGTCATGTAATCATATTAACTTGGGATTTTCTGTGTTTTTGGTGATATTGATCTTGTCTTTTTTAATTTTTTTGAAGAATAACTACTTCTTTTTTTAAATTTATTTTGAACCCAATGCTTCACACGTGCTAAGTGAGCACTCTATCACTGAGCCACAACTCCAGCCCTGGTCTTGTTTTGATATCGAGTTTGTTCAGACATCATAGAGTGAGTTGTGATATATTCCATACCAGAAGAGGTATGGAACAGAATAATCAATTGCTTGAAAGTTTAGTACAACTTGCTTCTAGGACCACTTCAAAATTTCATCAATTTCCTTAATAATTCTAGAATGCATATTTTCTCTAGTTTCAAACTGACATATTTTGCTGGGGAATTGAACTTTTTATCATTAGGTAGTGATCCTGTCCATCTTGAACAGTATTTTTTGTTAACCTGTGTTATCTAAAATTAATATGGTTGCTGGGCACAGTGGTGCACATCTGTAATCCCAGCAGCTCAGGAGACTGAGACAGGAGGATCTCCAGTTCAAAGCCAGCCTCAACAAAAGCAAGGCACTAAGCAACTCAGTGAGACCCTGACCCTAAATAAAACACAAAACAGGGCTAGGGATGTGGCTCAGTGGTTAAGTGCCCCTGAGTTCAATCCTTGGAACCGATAAGTAAATAAATAAATAGAATTTAATATGGCTACACTGGCTTTCTTTGGCATAGTGTTTGCTAGGTGTATCATTTCCCCTCACCTCTCCTTTCAACCTGTTCAAATTCCTGTGTTTTAGGAGTACCTTTTGGAATGATCCCATTAAGAAGACATGCAATGAGAGCAGTAGGGACTTGGTAAGTACAGTAAATTGAAGCAAAATTGTCAGTGCACAATAATAACAATGACATTAACATAAAATTTGTGGGTTTGGAAGAAGGATGAAATAAAATATTGGACAACAATAAATTATCAAGGAGGGATTGGAGTTAAGGAAGGGAATGAAGATAACTAGGGCCTTGTTAAATATGGGTAGTAGAATGTTCTTGCTTTGGGACTTTGTGTAGTGAGCTCATACAACTCATCTCTTCTGCTGTATGTGGCATCTTTCAGTAAGCTCAGATGTGGTTCATCATGATCTATGGGAATCCTGGGTTCCTCCTTACAGAGCACCCTTCTTTGTGCATGCTTGGTTTGAAGGAAGGCTGTCCACCTGAGACCATCATAGCTTATTTGCAGGTTTTGGCTAAATATGAGGCTCTTAGGTTCAGCTCCTTCAAGTTACAGCTGGCCAAGGTTTAGTCTCCTGACGCTATTAATAAGTGCTATGTCTCAGGACAACCCTGTATTTCCAATTTATTTGTTGCTCACTGGGCCCTATTTTAATTTTGACATGCTTTCAGTCCAATAACACATGGCAAAACCTGTTTTATCCAGGATAGAGGTGTTTGGAAAAGGGTTCATCTGGTCCACCATATGCTGAGATGCAATTTGAATTTTAAAAGCTTAAAGGTGAGACTGTTAAAAGTCACCAGCAGGTTTTTAGCATATTCCAAATGACTGGAACACTTTGGAACTCCCTTTTCTTTCTTTCTTTTTTTTCTTTTTTTTTTGGTACCAGGGATTGAACTCAGGGGCACCTGACCACTGAGCCACATCCCTAGCCCTATTTTGAATTTTATTTGTAGACAGGATCTCACTGAGTTGCTTAGGGCCTCACTAATTTGCTGAGGCTGGCTTTGAACTCATGATCCTCCCTGCTTCAGCCTCCCAAGCTGCTGGGATTGCCACCATGCCCAACTGAACCCCGGTTTTCTTCTGAGCTTTGTTTGCTTTAAAATTTGATGAAGGGGTTGGGAATAGAGCTCAGTGGTTGAGGATGTGTTTAGCATACCCAAGACCCTGGGTTAAATCCCCAGCACCAAATAAATGAATTAAATAAAATTTAGGAGACATCCAGATCTATGTTCATTGAAATTTTTTTTTTTTTTTTAATTTCAGGGACAGGGGCTGGGGTTGTGGCTCAGTGGCAGAGAGCTTGCCTAGAACATGTGAGGCACTGGGTTCGATCCTCAGCACCACATAAAATAAAAGAAAGAAAGGTATTGTGTACATCTATAACTAATTTTTTTTTTTTAATTTTAGGGACAGAGAATTGGGGCATCCATTAGAAAATTGCTTTTAGCCTGAACTTGTTGTTTTAAATAAAATTGAGTCACTGTTTTTAGCCTTTTATGAATCCACCAAAATGTGATATTTAGCAGATTAGATGTCTTAATTTTGCCCAGAAACAGATCATAAAACGCTTTGTCCAAAGCCTACTACAGTCTAAGTTCTGTATGTGATATCAAGCTTCCAAGATCTACTCATGGCAGTCACTGCGTAAAGTATTCTGTGGTGTAATTACTCACAGGGCACCAACACTAGCTCTGGGTACTCACCTCTTGTGCTTGAGTTTAATAATCAGGTGCAGAGGGCTGGGGCTGGGGCTCAGAAGTAGAGCGCTTGCCTAGCATTCGTGAGGCACTGGGTTCGATCCTCAGCACCACATAAAAATAAAATAATGGTATTGTGTCCACCTACAACTAAAAAAATAAATATTTTTTTAAAAAAATAATCAGGTGCAGAATTTTTCTGGGAATAGACACCATACCTCTTGGTTTCTGGATCTGTGCATCAGTCTATCTCCCCTATTTGAAATGGGAGCCTCACTCATCATTCCATCATTCTCAAAGATCACTGTGCACATCCAAGTGGCTCTGGAGGCGGAGGCAGGAGGATGGTGAATTCAAAGCCAGCCTCAGCCACAGTGAGAGACCCTAAGCAACTTGGTGAGACCCTGTCTCTAAATAAAATATTAAAAAGGGCAGGGATGTGGCTCTGTGGTCAAGAGCCCCTGGGTTCAATCCCTGGTACAAACAAAACACAACACTATGTACACTTCTGAGATGCTTTTGGTACTCTGGTAATTTCTCTTGATCTGGTAACTTGGATCAGTATAAATTGCTGAGTGCTCTTTCCCCATCTTTCTTCCTATCTGGAGCTGAAGTTCTCTCTGCGTGATGTTCTAAGAAGATGAAGTAAAATAGGAAAGTGGGAGTCTTCCTTTCCTTCTGCTGCCTGTTAACATACCATATGCTGAAATCCCTTTTTATTCATCTCGATCCAAATCTGGGTTTCAATTGACCTTTTTCTGTCTAGCGTTTGAGTGCCAACCCTTCTGCATCTTAGTCTCCTTTGCTTCTCCTTAATGGTACAGGTTAGTCGGAAAATTTCCATCACCTTCCAACTTCCACGCAGGTGCTTGGAAAATCTGAGCTTATCTGAGTAACTACTCCCTCAAAGTCTGCTTTGTCCTTCCCCTCCAAGACACTCCCAGGCCCAGGGCTGGGCGCAACTGGCATTTTCAACAAGTGAATCCATACAGCAAGAATCCCAAGTTTAGAAGTTCCTTATTATTTCGTCTTTCTGTGATCATATACTTCACTTTGACATATGTTGACTTGTGATATATTATTTTTTTGGAACTAGGATTAAACCCAGGGGTGGGTGCTTAACCCCTGAGCCACATCCCCATCCCTCAGCTTCTCACTGAGTTGCTTAGAGCTGGCTTTGAACTCATGTCTCCGAAGTTGCCCAGGCTGGCTTTGAACTCGTGATCCTCCTACCTCATCCTCCAAAGCTGCTGGGATTATAGGCGTGCACCACCTCGCCCAACATGAATATATTCTTATTACTTGACTCTTGCATTGATGTAATTTTTTTTCATGTGTATGAAAGTCATCCTATAATTTAGTTTGTTCTCCTTGCAGGAAGGAGTCAAATTGTATCTTCCATAGCTTGAGTCCTAGGCACAACTAGATGCTTGATAAATATTTAACTCACAAATAAATGAAGAAGCAATATTTTGAGTCATTTGAAGAGATATTTTTTGGGGGCGCTAAAGTATTGATAATTCATAGATTTCTGGGTACAAGCTCTTTTAAGGTCCCACTTTGTTATAGCTTACACATTTAATTCCGTTACTTGTTACGAAAGCAGGAAGTTTAGTGATTAGAATATAAATTTGGGTGGGGGGGTCCTGGGGATTGAACTCAGGGGCACTCAACCACTGGGCCACATCCCCAGCCCTATTTTGTATTTTATTTAGAGACACGGTCTCCCTGAGTTGCTTAGCGCCTCATCATAGCTGAGGCTGGCTTTGAACTCATGATCCTCCTGCCACAGCTTCCTGAGCCGCTATGATTACAGGCGTGTGTCAAGATGCCTGGCTAGAACATGGATTTTTTTTTGTTCAGATATATACAACTTTGTTTGGGTATCAGCAGTATCCCTGATGAGCTGTGAGACCTAAGGTGGGTCGTTTAACCTCTTTGAGCCACAAAAATTTCCTCATTTGTCAAGTGGAGACTAAGAGTTCCATCTTGGAGAGTTGTTGTTGGGTGGCTTCAATGAGATGATGGACATAAAGCACGGAGTGCAAGGTGAACTACACAGGAACAGCTAACTGATACTTGCCTGTTTCCTGCCACTCATCGTCATCCTATTCCCTGGGGTGATGGAGGTGGGAAAGGTCACAGCCTGGTGGAGTCAAGAGCCACCCAAGAGAACAAATGCCCATGATGTACCATGGGCTGCAGGGCTGTGGGTGATGGAACAATTAATTTTGCCTGGATAAGGCTGCTGCAAGGTGGTGGCCACTGAGCTGCAGATTGGGCAGAGGGCTCGGTGGCTGGCTTAGAGTTGTCCTGCGGGGTCTGCTTGGGGAATGGATCATGCAAATGGCTTCTAAGCCCTGAGGTGTTGTCCAGCGGCATCTGTGTACTCACGGTGTCTTGTGCTATCCGTTTTTTCTCTTATACACATTCTCATGTGCCGATACGGCCTTTGTCTGATTCTATCACAGTTTGTGTGGGATTCCCTAATCAAATAGTATCTCATATTTTCTTCTTATAAACAGACTCTAAGCCAGGTGCAATGGCGTATGCCTGCAATCCCAGCAGCTCAGGAGGCTGAGGCAGGAGGATCGTGAGTTCAAAGCCAGCCTCAGAAACTTAGCGAGACCCTAAGCAGTTTAGGGAGAACCTGTCTCTAAATAAAATGTGAAACAGGGCTGGGGACGTGTTTCAGTGGCTAAGCGCCCATGGGTTCAATCCCTGGTGCTCCCCCCCGCCAAAAAAGATAAACTCTAAGTCTTTGGAGGCAAGAAATGTGTCTTTGTTCACACAAACAGTACCAAACACATAGTGGGTCATGTTTGATGAGTGAATGAATAAAAGAACAAGTGAATGAATACCTCTGATGGCTAGCTCCACCATGTGCTGGCTATGAGATCATCATGCCTCTCTGCATTTCCGTGCTTCTGTCTGTAAAGTGGGTTTAGTAACAAGTGCACATTAGACAGTGGTCCCTGTAGGCACCATTCAGGTCTGGCTGATGTGCTGTTGCATTTGGGAGATATCTGCAGACTTGGGCAGGATGAAGCCTAGGCATTCTGCTTCAGTGGCTGATAGGAGAAGGCTTCAGAACTCTGCCAAGGCTGGGTTGGGACTTGTCTGATGATAAGGAATTCCTCTCTCTCTTATCTGCCACCCAGAAAGGAGAGTGCACCTGGGAAGGATCCCTGGCCTCCCACCTGTCTCAGGGGAGTCACTGATTCAGGGAGAGCTGGAGGTGAATTCCCCATCTCCTCCTGCCTCCTTGGCTATGCTGTGAAACTGGAGCTAATTAAAACTTCTTTCTTGTCATCCACTGGGTGAAGAAGAGTCACCCAGAATATGATTCATCCCTGGAGATCACCTAAGTATGTCTAAATAATAAAACTGTGACAGGGAAAAACCTCATCTGGATAAAGAAATTCCAGGCCCTGTGAGTCCTGGGGGTAGGGAGAGTCCACAGACTGTGAGTTACAAGAAAGAATGAACTGCCCTGTGCTGTGGCGCATGCCTGTAATCCCAGCAGCTCTGGAGGCTGAGGCAGGAGGATCATGAGTTCATTGCCAGCCTCAGCAACTTATGGAGGCCCTAAGCAGCTTTCAGGCTGGGACCTCCCGGAAAGTCATTTGTTAATTTAATTCCTTTATTCATTTATTCACCTGATGAATATTCCCAGAGCCCACATGTTTTGGTCAGATTTTTTTTGCTGCTGTGACCAAAACACCTGACAAGAACAATTAACAAGGAGAAAACGTTTATTTGGCACTCATGGTTTGAGAGGTCTCAATCCATAGATAGCTGCTCCATTTCTCTGAGTCCGAAGTGAGGCAGAACATCATGGTGGAAGGTTGTGGTGGAGGAAAGCAGCTCAGAACAAGACAATCAGGAAGCAAAGAAAGAGGTCTGCTCACCAGCAACAAAATATGGCTCCTTCAGCCATACCCTACCTGCGGAACCCAGTTAATCCACATCAGTGGATTAATGCACTGATTAGGTTAAGGCTCTCATAACCCAATCATTTCCCCTCTAAACTTACTTTCATTGACTCACTCATGAACTTTTGGGGGAATGCCTCATGTCTAAACCATAATGCCACAACTGCAGGACCAATACGTGGCCCACGGAGAAGAAAGGGCAGCTCAGTTTTATTTCTCCTTGCCTCTCTGTGGCAGATAAACTGGCTTGGAAAGGTGCAAGTTTAGCAGTGAGGAGAGATAAAACCAAGAGGGAGGACTAAGGAAGCAGACTTTGAGGAATAAATTATCATGGGGACTGGGAATTGAAACTTGAGGTGTGAGTGAAGAGGCGGCCAAGAACTTGGAGGAAGATGCTCCAGCCCAAACCAGATAGATTGGCCCAAAGCCAGCATAAATTTCAGAAGCCCTGATAGAGTGAGCTTTCTTTCAGGCATGGGTGTTCGTTCACCAGTGGCCTCGGAGATGCCCCTCTGCTGTGTCTCTGAGGCTTCCTGCCCATGGCACATTCTTAATGGAACATGCTTAACTCAGCCAGGATATACCCCACCTGTCTGGAGGGCTTGGAGGGCACAGGTCTGGAAGGTTCCCTTGTGGTGGATTTAAGTGGTCAAGAGGCTCCCTCTCAAGTGGGAGGCAAGGCTCGGTGCAGCCAGAAGACCCAGATGAGGTCACACAGCAGGAGCTCACTACTCCTTGTTAACTGAATGAATGCTTTGATGAAAGAAACCCCACAGTGCAATGTGAGCCCAATATGGCCTTAGAGAAGACTTCCTGGTGGAAGTGACATTAAATTAAGATGTGTAAACAGAAAGGAGCAGCCAGACTGAGATGAGATTTAAATGTCCCTAAAAGAAAAGACCATAATGGGGATTTAACCAGTGGTTGTCTAAAGGCCTTTCCAGATGCTCCCCAGCTTTGGAGTCAGGCTGTCCTGGATTGGAATTCCCTGTTCTGTCCTTTCCAGGCAGAGCCCCTGGGCAAGCCCTCGCTGTTCGCGGGAG